TTTATTAAATTAATTTTTTAGCTTTACATTGTGGAATAGAAAAATTTATTGGAGTATTCATAAGTCACGACAAACAGTTGGTTGATTCTAAATTTTTCATAAAACTAGCTCGAGATCTTGTAATGAATAGTTTTATGCTCGCTGGGGATCAAATGGCCTTCTTGGGGATTCATCTTGTACTTACATACGGAGGAAAGTAATATGTATGTTCTTCCCTCTCATTTTATGATAAGTTTTTTGGAGGTTAACCACAAAGCGGTTTTAGGCTTAGATTTATGATGTATAGTACTTGTATGCCCAAGAGGATTATGGTATCATTATCACATCTCCTACATACAATAGAGATAATAAATATTATAAAGATTATTTTGCTGATCTCATTAACGCATGTAGCCTAATATTAGAAATGATATCAAAAAGATATTAAAACGAGTCTGGTGTTGATGTTGATGTTGATGTTGATGTTGATGTTGATATTGATGTTAAGATTGATGCTTACAAGTATATGGGTAATCAGTAAAACTAGAAAAGACATCCCCGGCGTAGCCGAGCATCATATATTCTTAGTTGATGTATCTATTCATATATATATAACTTTCTTTGGGAGAGAACAATAATAATACCAATAACAATACCCGCCCAAAAGGAGGGCATTCAATTAGTAAATATTTAATAGATCCCGAAATTGATAAAGGCATTTTAATTCCTAGAGAAAGAATCATGTACTTTGTACGAGGTTTACGTTCATTCAACAAAAAGATAGTTACAAGAATTTGGGATGTACCGCTGAAGACCGAAAGAATTAGAAATAAGTTTGATCCGCGATATATTCACCATAAATGACTGGAAGTTATACATCCCTCAAGGGAGTATATCCCCCATGTATCGGGGTTAATGTTAAAAGAAGTATGTTCAGCATAATATGATTCATAAACTTTTAGTTTAAAATTTAACACGTATAATGATTTATGATTCTGCCAGCGAAATAAAATAGATCAAGTTTAAACAGAAACAAAGTATATAGAAGAGAAGTATGGAATCAAGATTAAAAACTGCCAAAGAAGATGCAGAAAGAAAACTGTGTATTGCACCTCCAATAGTCGCGGTGCCAATTCAGGGCCAGGTGCCGCTCACGTTTTGATTCCTCTTATTCAGGATAATCGGGTTATTTGTCAAAGTATTTTTAGTAGGCTGACTTGTTCAGATTATGCTTTTATTCAATTTTCTCATCCAGATTTCTCTCGCCGAATCCCTGTTCTTGTCTCTCTTTTGCTGTGTTCCTTTAGTATTCAGACTTCCTCATCACACTTCTTCAGTTATTCAGACTGCTTCTTTTCTCTCTTTTTGTTCTTTTGTCGTTTGTTCTTCTTTTTGGTTAGGACGTGTGATGTCCTCATGGCCTACTATATATTCAGTGCCAAAACAGACTGTTTCCCTTTGAGTAAGAAAGGAATTCGTAGAGACCGGCAGTGCAAAGCCCAGAGCCACTACATGATTTATTTTCAGTATTCTTGTAATATATTAAAAAATATGCTGTTGATTCGATGGTAAAAATAACTGATTCATTCCACATCCATGGGGCTATTGGTCTATTTTTCTGCTCTTTGCGGGTTTATATGTACATATACCGGCCTAGATGTTTTACCCTAGATTTTGAACCCTTCCCGGAAAATAAAAGAATATAGTTCTTTTCGAGGCCTCTTGATGCATCAAGCTCTCTCAGAATTAAAGAATGTTCGAGAGTTGGGACATTGTAGTTCAGCTTTTTTTGACCATACTATTTATTTAATAACCTGATTAACAACATTCGAATGTTCATTGAAAGATAATAAATATAAGACCCATTCCTTTTAACGATTCTATTCTATCAATACTCATGAAATTCAATCTGTATATACTTCATGCCTCACTCAAAGGTTATACATACCTGATGTCAGATACTACGACACCCGTAATTACCCAGCGGGAGAATGTACCCATCACTGAGCTAATAAGAATGTTGTCCTCTATTTAATTTATTTCATTACTTTGATGCATGGCTACACCAGGAAGAAGGCCGGGCCTTCATTACACCGGCTTTGAGCTGGAACAGGTATTCAATTGCAAATTTGAAAGTACCAACTCGCAACATTTTCAAAAAGTTATTCATTAGATAAAAAATATACAATACGACATTGATACTGAGACGCGACTAAACTCAAGAGCCGACATCAAGATAAATCCGCCGGATTTTATGTCCATTGTATGATTTGTTTTCTATATTTATATTAGAAATTCAAACACAAAGACTTTTGATACTTCTTTAAACACAAATATTATGGTATCGAATATTTTCGATGGAGCAATCAGTCTGGTAAAGGTATCGAATACTTCTGTCTGACTTTTCTCGGACAACATAATTCTGAAGCTCTATAAATGACTCTACAGTATATAATACAATGATGATATTCCATTATCTCCTGCCTATATTCTCAAAATCTACACATTTTATGCTTTGTTACGCCTATCATTGTGCCAATTCAAGTCCCGGGGCCATGGCCCAAACTCACTTGTTCTTGCTTGTCGTGATTCAAATTTCGTGAATCCTGTCCAGGTTGTTTCTCCTATTCTGTCTTCTTGATTTTCTTCTCGTCTTTATTTTTTTTTCCTTAGACACATTCTGTTCAGATCTTTATAAGCTCTCCTACCTTTCTCGCAATAACTTTTACATCCAACCCTGTCTCTATTGTGTTATTTAATGCCGAAATGGCATGAAGATTACAGATCCAGACTGTAGAAAAATGATCCCAGCCACAACCGTGACTAAAACTTATGCAGAATCGAATATTGTTTTAAAAATAAGACGTCTCTTTTCAGAAAATTTAAATTTGACACACTTTTGGACAATTAGTTGAACGTTCAAAAGTCACTTGTCAGGATTAGATATAATCTCTGCATATTCAATTAAGAAAACGCCTTAGCTATGTGTCTGATCCAAGGTTTCCCCAATTTACAAGAACCACTTTTAGAAGCCATGAGCTTTTTAGTTGAACAAAAGATTTAGCGGGAGATGACTTAGATGTACAAAGAATTCGCGTGCGCAGCTATCGAAGCTGATATTTCACAATGGTCAAATTTTTCTCGGTTTCTCTTGGTCTGTAAACGATGCTCAGGTCTCACAATGAGGGGACAACAAACAACATGTGTTGCATTTCTGATGAAGAGTTTAAATTTACACTCCCGTTTATGTCTTGTGTTCTAATCTAATTTCAATCTACCTATACCAAAGAGTGTTGCATAACATGTAAAAATACTGGTAAAACATTCACACAATGTGAAAAGTTTTCCTGTCCTTCACGGTTTTTATTGCTTTGAGCAAGGACCATAAGTCAAACAAAAAATCTAAAGTAGGAGAATTTCTGAAAAGTACCAACAGCCCAGAATGATACTCTCAGTGAGTTTACTTCACCCTTGTTGTCAGTGGATATAATCTGTTAAGCTAATAGATTAACAATCGCATGATTTGAATACATGACCAGTCTATGCCAAAACTGAACAAACACATATTTGAATAAAGAGATTTCAACCTTCCTCACTTCTTCTGTTCTGACTTCTCTTACCTCACTTCTCTCCTTTTAAGCTCTCAAATTCTCATTTCATCTCCCGACTTCTTTTTTCAAAGTCTTTTTCGATGTTTGAGCAATCTGCTTGCATCGTGTTAGGGTGATTGTGAGCATGTGAACACTGCAGCCCTTGCGGGTAAAATTATTTTTCAACGCATAACTCGAGGTGGAAAAAAGACAGCTTAAAAATTTTGATGTTTCGGAAAAATATGAGGGTTAAATACATTTGCATATAGCTTGTAAATTTGGCAGACAGTTTCGATTAGCATTCACACCGGTATAGTACTT